CTTTGCATTGGTATTCAGATTTCTTTTATATCTTATAGAACTTCTTTAAAATCAGTATTTTGCATTCTTTATCTGACATTTTGAAGATTTCTTATTGGTTCAAATTCATTGCTAGAGAATTACTGTGCTCCTTTGGAGATGTTATAGCACTTTGTTTTTTCATACTTCCAGTATTATTATCCTGATTTCTTTGCATCTGGAGAATTAGTCACTTCTATTATTGAATTTACTTTCATCGGGGTGTGACTTACTTTTCTTGAGAATGTGACTATGATGTATGCTGAATAGGGTTATTTGGCTTTGTTTCTGGGTGTCTAAACTGGTGGTTCCATGCTTTGTGTCCAAGGCAAGAAGGCAAAGCTGGGCAGTGTGGGGTTGTGCAAGTCTGCACTTGAACCCCACAATGGCATGTACAAGTGATGGCCCTTATAGGGTTCAGAGAGAAATCCTCAGGCCTCTGAAGAAACACTCCAGCAAGAAGCAGAGCAACTGCTGCTGTGCCAATGACCCTATGAGGGAAAGAGTGCATCTTAGGCTCCATGGTCTATCAAGGGGTAGTAAGACCCAATTTACTCTCACTCAACCCATCATGGCTCCTTCCCACAGCTGGACACTAGCAGTGAATTGGCACAGGTAGCCAACTCAAATACAGTTTGCCTTTAGACTGTGAAAATGTCTCAGGCTGCAAAACTTTCTACCCTGGCCAAAACCACTCATCTCAGACTCAAACCCTCCTGATCTGGTCCTGCAAGGTGGGTTCCCAATTCCATTGTCTGCAGCTAAAGCCCATGCTATTCTTGCCTCTCCATTCTGGCTATGTGGATTCCTCCTCCAATCAAGTTAAGATCATAAATCCCTGACTAATGACTCTACAAACCAGTGACTGCCACAAATGCTAGCTGGCAGGTTTCTGTGCAACCCACTGTGAGTTAGCCTCAGGAATGACCTCCTTCCATTGGTCCTTAAGCCTGGGAGTGCATGTGGGGTACTTCCCAGTGGTCTTCCTTCTCACAGTCCCTTGACTGTTCCCCAAGTCTGATCCAGGTTTTGGGAAGCTCGAAAAGTTCCCGATGGTCTAGATATCCTGGCTTCCTGGTGGAACTGTGTATTGTGGAGCACTCCCCCTCTCACATATGGAGGGATTGATTCACAGATTTCCATTTGGGCTGCTGTCTGTCTTGTTTTCAGCAGTATCCAAAGTTTTCTTTCACTTTTATGTTGAACAATCATGTTTCTTCTTGGATACAAGTTCACAGTGTGAATCTCTACACACTACTTGCTATTTCCAAGTGGGCAAGGATTCTGGCAAAGCATCCATTCTACTATCTCAGAAAAAAAGGTACTCATCTCTATTTTATTAATGAGAGAATTCAAGTGCATAAGTGTTTATATAACCTATAATCTCAATATGAATTTTGGGAAGTTATGCTGCCATGGGCCAACACGACTTACATAATACTTTAGCCTAGTTTCTGTTATGCCACTCATGATTCTGTCTGATTTCTGCCAGAAAAGTTAATGACGAATCTTCTCTGAAGATGTTTGCACTACCAAGAAGAAATAACTCCGAGTAAAGTAAATATACTAGTGTTCTTCCTAAGAAAACAGAACCAGGCTTCCGTGCATAGTTTAGTTGTTGCTTCTCTCGATGATTGGAGTGAGAGACTCTGGTTATTCTCATGGGTAACTTGTCCCCTGAGAACTTTATGTATGTTCAAATTCCTCAATTATTGTTAGTTCCCAGTCATTGGCCACTAACGTCCCAACATGACTCTATTTAACATCATGTTAGAGGTTCCACCCTGTGTGTCACCTTTTGGTGATCATTTATTGATCTCAGTGTAAAAGGTTGTCCATTGTACTAAGTGGCCTTATTTCACACAGGTATATTACTCTGAGTCTGCAACAATGGCCAGGGATAAAACCCCCAGCTAAAAATGATGTTCATTGTGGATATGATGATCCCTTCTTAGAGCTCTTTAGCACTTTACAGAATGCATTCAGAGACTTCTATTTTTCCTCACAGCAGCAGTCCTGTGTGACAAGTTGGAGAATATTTTCTAATCTCCACCTAATCGTCACTTTTTCCTTAAATCTCCCTCCCTCTAGAGAACTTCAATATTTGTGACTAGACATTAAATAACAACTTCTTAAATAGGAGCTTTTCTTTCTTCTTTGAGTAGGACTTGCAATTTGAAGATACCAACTGAAAGTGTGTCATCTTCCTTGAAGAGCAAGGTAAGTTTCTAGCTCAGTTCTATGGTCTGTTTAGGTTGTAGTAATAGAATATGTGCTATGTAAAAGTTCAAGGACAAACATTTTCCCATTGAATACATCCAGAGTTTAGTATCCCAGCTTTAAATATTTTCATACTCTCATGCTATTTAGCCACAGTCCAGGTGTTAAAACAATCTCCATTAATTAGGAAAATGGTGATTTTATTCAAATAATAGAAGATGGTACTATTCTCATCATTTAAAATTCATATGCTTAGAGGGCAACAGACATTGCAGCCTATCGAAGGGTGGAGGGTAGGAGGAGGGAGAGGATCAGAAAAAATAACTAATGGGTCCCAGGCTTAATAGCTGGGTGATGAAATAATATGTACAACAAGCCCTCATGATGCAAACGTACCTGTGTAACAAGCCTGTATATGTATCCCTGAACTTAAAAGTAAAAAACAAAAGACAAAATAACCTTATACACACAAAAAATCCATGTGCTTAGAAGAGCATTTAGAAAATGAAGGGCACCCTAAATATTTGTTGAGGCAATGAGTGAATGTATCTAAATGGATAAATGAATAAATAAATGAGTCAGCAAATGATCAGTGAGCACGTTAAAAAATACATGGTTCTCTGTTCCTGAAGCACAGTCTCATGCCTAACTTTGCACAGGCTATTAAGAGGCTCTTGATTGAAAGCTTTAGATTTTTTAAAATAAGGAATCCACACGATTTACATTGTGACCCATAATGGGTGACCGCATGCATGTGTACACACACATACACACACAGCAAAATCAAAGCTTACATGGAATCCTATTTTTCACCTACAATGCACCTTTACTTTCTACTTTTTTGAGCTCATGTATGCAAAATGCATAAAAGAGAATCTGCACATAGTGAATGCTTTATGTGTTAGAGGTCATTCCTAACAATAGCAGTTAGATTTAATTTAGTTTATTGATGTTAGTGTTTTTTTATTCTGTCTTTCCTTGCCGTAGAGAACTTGGAGCCTTTTGACCACTACCTGAGACAGATTTTTTCTCTAATGGTATTTATACATTATTCTATGACTGAATTTCCAACTTTAGACTTAGTATTCAGGATAGACTATCTCTTTTTCTCCAGGTGCAAGGTAAGCTTCTATGTTCCACATATACATTTAGTAAAACAGGGAATTCGTGCAAAAGCAGTGGGACAGCTATAGATACCATATTATTTTAGAACAGGAGTAGATGCTTTAAATTTCTTTTTCTAAAAACATATGCTGAGGCTGGAGTATAGAGATGTCAAAACTTCCATTGGTAGGGTGTTCAGTGATACTTGTGAAATATCATACTGCTTCCCTAAAGAAGATGAAAAAAATAAGATAGATGATGCTCTGATTAACTAGGTGGTAATTTCATCTTACTCACTATTAGTTAGGCTTCTACTGGAAGTAAAACAAACAAAAATAACAGAAGTGTGAATTGACAGCTCTTCAGACTATAAAAGGAATTAAATAAGTTAGCAAGATGCATACAGAATTGTAACCTTTCCCCCATAATCTCATCCTTATTATGACTAGCACATCTAATGCTCGTTGTGAAGTAGCTAAAAGCACAAATTTTGATTAGGTTGGAACTCGGTTTCAATTGTGAATCTTGACTATTCTCCATACTAGTTGTATAATTGTAGAATATCACAAAACTTTTCAAATATCAAATTCTTGTAATGGTAAAATAGTAATAACAATAATACTTATCTCACACACACACTCGTAAACATTTATATGAAAAGTTCTTAACATCTGTTGTAGAACATAGTATATTCTAAAAGCGGTTATGTGAATTAAGTTTGGCAAACATAAGGCTTTCATGGGCTAAACTTATGCAGTGTGGAAAGACAGTAGGCAATAGTAGTTAGCAGATGAATAGTAGTTAGAGGATGAATGCCCTTTCTAATTTAAAACACTATACGTATGCAAGAGCTGATCTAAATAATAATTTTACAACTTAGAACCTGCCACCAAAACAGATCTGCAGATCTGCAGACTAAAGGAAACCCACAAATGATGCATTTTAAACTATAAGGGTCTGCATTCAACTAAGAGATGACAAAAATGAAAGAAAAGAATGAGTTTAAGTAAAGGAGATGCTGTGAAACCGAGCTAAAATGTAAGTTTCAAGGAAGAAATTAAACAGAAAAATGGTTCACGTGGAATTGCTGGAGCAATCATTTGGGTGAAAAAAAAAGACAGAATGAGAATTATTGGGAGGCACAGAAAATCTCAGTAGCCCTAGTATGTGAGGAAAGACAAATTGAAGAAGGGGCTACAAGACTTCAAAATTTACCAACACACAAAGCCCTGCCATCCTCCTTTATGAAACGAGATCATCATTCCATTCTAACAATACCATTATAGCTAGCTCTCATCAGACTGTGCTAAACATTTAACATTTTGTTTATTGTTGTAAAAATGTATTATTTCATTGAATTTTCAAAATAATGCCTTGAGGTTGATCTCATTAATATTTTCATTCTGCAGGTAAAATAAACAAGGTTCAGGGAAGTTAGTCTGGGACCGATGCTGCCTAAGTAGTAAATGGTAGGGCTGATATGCACCTCTTCCCAATCCCAAGCTCTATATCTGATGCTGCCTTCCCCTCAGAATTGCCTTTGCTGGTTGTACATTTCTCTACTTCTCCAGCTGTCCTGAGACCCTTAATGTGCATTTTCCTCTCACTTACCTCACTGTGAAATCTGCCTAAGTTTGCACCAACAAAGACAATGAGTAATTGTAAATTGCTTCACATTCAATTTGATTTAGATTCAATTTAGACCATTGAACTTGAGAACAACTCTCCTGAGCCAGAAGATAGGCTTGACTATTCACTCTTGTGTATATATGAATAAATGACTTAATCTTGTGAGCCTCACAAATTAAATAAACGCAATAACTAATCAACCTCATTATATTGTTGAGAGGAATCAATATACATACAAATTTCCTAGAGCAGTTCCCAGTATGTGAGCAACATAAATATATAAATTTTACTGGATTAGGGAAAACGGAATTGGCAGAAAAATTAGTTCCAGATGCGTCATCTTGGACACATCATTAAATATACTACATAGCAGTTTATAAATTTATAAAATGGAAACATTTGGGATATTATTTATAAAGATCCCCTGGATTCAACAGATTGCAACTGTGTAGATAATGCATTAAAGATTGTTATTAAGCCTATGCTTTAGATCTATAGAATTTTGAAGTATGAATTGTTGCTCTAATTACATAAGGCATATAGTATTTATACATTTCTAAATCTCTTTTTTGTTTATCACTCTATTGCTTTATTTCTCATTGCTACAGGACATCTTATGATTTCCTGATAATACCGATGGAGAATTGTACAGAAATGACAAAGTTCATACTTCTAGGACTAACCAATGCCCCAGAACTACAGGTCCCCCTCTTTATCTTGTTCACCTTCGTCTACCTCCTCACTCTGTGTGGGAACGTGGGGATGATGCTACTGATCCTGATGGACTCTTATCTCCACACCCCCATGTACTTTTTCCTCAGTAACCTGTCTCTGGTGGACTTTGGATACTCCTTAACTGTCACTCCCAAGGTCATGGCTGGGTTCCTTAGAGGAGACAAGGTCATCTCCTACAATGCATGTGCTGTTCAGATGTTCTGCTTTGTAGCCTTGGCCACTGTGGAAAATTACTTGTTGGCCTCAATGGCCTATGACCGCTATGCAGCAGTGTGCAAACCCCTACACTACACCACCACCATGACGGCCAGTGTATGTGCTCGTCTGGCCCTAGGCTCATATGTCTGTGGCTTCCTAAATGCCTCATTCCACATTGGGGGCATATTCAGTCTCTCTTTCTGTAAGTCCAATGAAGTCCATCACTTTTTCTCTGATGTTCCAGCAGTCATGGCTCTGTCTTGCTCTGATAAACACATTAGTGAGGCGATTCTGGTTTTTATGTCAAGCTTTAATATCTTTTTTGCTCTTCTAGTTATCTTTATCTCCTACTTGTTCATATTCGTCACCATCTTGAAGATGCATTCAGTTAAGGGACACCAAAAAGCGTTATCCACCTGTGCCTCTCACTTCACTGCAGTCTCCATCTTCTATGGGACAGTCATCTTCATGTACTTGCAGCCCAGCTCCAGCCACTCCATGGACACAGACAAAATGGCATCCGTGTTCTATGCTATGATCATCCCCATGCTGAACCCTGTGGTCTACAGCCTGAGGAACAGAGAAGTCAAGAATGCATTCAAGAAAGTGTTGAGAAGGCAAAAATTTCTATAAGATTGGAATTTTAACACTGTTGTATACACAAAAATGTTTCACTCATCTCAGACCTTCCTCACGCAATGAGTTACATTTGAAACCCCACAATACATTTAAGTTCATGAGGTGATATTCTTACCTCTTTAGAAGTCAATTATGTAATAAAAATAAAACATTCTCAGAAATGTAACACCTGAACGAGGAAGGCTAAAGGGAAATGTTAGGATTTTTGGAACTTGCTGGTCAAATCTTACTAATGACATATGGTTCACTCACTTGTTCCATTTGCATTTTCTCTACCACATTCCAATGCAAACATACTTGTTAAACAGGGACACCAGCAAGCCCACAAAAATGTATATGTTTATGCCTTTGTGGGCACATAGGCATTAGAAGGAGAAATTTACTCAGAAGTAAGTGGAGTGTGGCTAGTTTTTATATAAAGGACTTAAGTAATTAATTTAGTATTATAGTATAAATTTATTTTTGAATAGACTTTTCAAGAACAGTTTTATATTCACATTAAAATGGAGAGGTAAATACAGAGATTTCCCATATACCTTCTGCCCCCACATACATATACCCTCGCTCATTGTCAATATCCTCCAACAGAGTGCTACATTTTTTTACAATTGATGAACCTACATTGACTCATCATTATCATCCCAAGACCGTAGTTTACATTAGGATTCACTTTTGCTGTTGTCCCTTCTATGGATTTGGACAAATGTACAATGACATGTATTTATCATTATAGTATCATATTGAGTACTTTCACTGCTCTAAAGCACTTCTATGCTCTGCTTATTCATTCTTCCTTCTTCCCTTACCCCTGACAACTACTGATCTTTTTCTGTCTCCACAGTTTTGCTTTCTCCAGAATGTCAGATAGTTGAAATCATATGGTATGTAACCTTTCCATATTGGCTTCTTTCACATAGTAATATGCATCTCTTTTCTTCATAACTTTTCATGGCTTGATAGCTCATTTCATTTTAGCACTGAATATTGTCTATTGTCAAGTGGTATCACACTTTATTCATCTACCTACTGAAGGATATTTTGGTTGCTTCCCAAGTGTTGGCAGTTATGAATAAAGCTGCTATAAACACGTGTGGTTTAACTGGTATTTTCTTTCTCCAACTTTGCTGCATGTTCTGCTGGTTTTCCTTGTTGACTTTTTATCTTGTACTCATACTCTGATTATAGGTATTCTTTAATGCTCTATCCTGAGATGCTTATATTTTCAGGTTTTTATTAAACTTCTCACTGACGTCTCAAAAATAACATGTATAAAACTAAAATCTTGCTTTTATGCCCCAAATCTAGATTCTGATTGTACTTAGAGTAAATTTTCTAACTGTGGCCTACAAAAGTTGCTTAACCTCTCTGCTGCCACTTCTTTCCTTTTCTTCCAAATTTCTCCTTGCTCTCTATGATCCAGCAAGTTCATCTTTGTTTATTTCTTGAACACAAGAAGCACATTCACACCGCAGAATGCTGTCCATCTTGGCCTCTTTGCCTACCATGTTCTTTCCTTATATGTCATTTTAAATATTATATACTCAGAGAGCCCAATTTAACTCTGCATCTAAAATTATTATCTCCCATGTCCATTAGTCTTTATTTCAGCATCATGGCTTTTTTTCTTTTAATTGTGATAAGAACACTTATTATAAGATCTACTCTTTCAACAACTTTTAAGTGTACAATATAGTTTTGTTAATTATAGGCACTATGTTGTAAGCAGATCTCTAGAACGTATTCATTTTTTATAACTGAAACTTTATACCCATTTAACCATAGCTCAGCCCCCTATTTCCTCCACTCCCACCACAGCCCCTGACAGCCACCACTCTACTCTCTTTTTCTGTAAGTCTATTTTAGATACCTTATGTAAGTAGAATCAGGCAGTATTTTGTCCTTCTATGACTCGCTTATTTCACTTAGCATATTGTCCTCCAGGATCATCCATCTTGTCAAATACAGCAGGATATTCTTCCTTTTATTGAAACATAATAATTGTACATATTTATGGGGCACAGTGTGGTATTTTGACAAATGTATACATTGTACGTTGATGAAAATTAGCATATGAATCACCTTAAACATTTATTATTTCTTTGTTGTAAGAATGTTCAAAATCCCCTCTTTTAGATATTTGAAAATATATAATCCATTTTTGTTAGCTAGACTCACCCTACTGCACAATAGAGTACCAGAACTAATTCTTATCTAATTGTAAGATTGTACCTGCCGACAAACCTTTCACCATCTCTGCCTCTCCACTATTCTCCCAAGTTGCTGCTAACCACTATTCTACTTTCAACTTCTCTGGGATCAGATTTTTCAGATTCTATATTTAAGTGCGATGGTGCGGTATTTGTCTTTCTGTGCCCAACATTTTCCTTAACATAATGTACTCCAGATTCATCCATGTTATTGCAAATGACAAGATTTCATCTTTTATAAGGCTGAATAGTGTTCTATTGTGTATGTATACGGCAGTATCTTTATCCATTCGTCTGTCGATGGGCATTTAGGTTGATTCCATTTGTTGTCTATTATAAATAGTGCTGCAATAAACATTGGAGTCCAGATTTTTTTTAACACACTGATTTGATTTCCTTTGGATATATGTCCAGTAGTTGGATTGCTGGATCATGTAGTAGTTCTATTTTTAATTTTTTGAGGAACCTCCATACTGTTTTCCATAATGACTCTACTAGCTTATATTCCCATCAACAGTAAGAGTTCCCCTTTCTCCACATCTTTGCCACATTGGTTATATTTAATCTTTTTGTTAATAGCTATTTTAAAACTGGGGCAAGGTGATATCTCATTGTGGTTTTGATTTACATTTCTCTGGATATCAACCTCTTGTCGAACGTATACTTTTCAAATATTTTTTCTCATTCTGTATGTTGTCTCTTTTCTCTGCTGATTGTTTCCTTTGCTGTGCCAAAGCTTTTTAGTTTGATGTGGTCCCATTTATTTATTTTTGCTTTTGTTGTTGCTGCTTTTGGGGTCTTCTCTAAAAAAATCCTTATGTGGACCAATGTCATGAAACATTTTCCTATGTTTTCTTCTAGCAGTTTTATAATTTTGGGTATTACATTGAAGTCCTCAATTCATTTAGAGTTAATTTTTGTATATGGTGAGAGATAGTCTAGTTTTATTCTTTTTCATGTGGATATGTAGTTTTCCCAGCACCAATTATTGAAGTAGCTGTTTTTACCCCATTAAGTGCTCTTGACTCCTTTATTGAAAATCAATTGGCTGTAAATTCCTGCATTTATTTTTGGGCTCTCTATTTTGTTCTGTTGGTCTGTGTGTCTGTTTTTATACCAACACCATGCTGTTTTGGTTACTATAGCTTTATAGCACATTTCAAGGTCAGATAGTGTAAAGCCTCCAGCTTTTTCTTTTTTTGCATAAGATTGTTTTGGCTATTTAGGGTATTTTGTGGTTCCATATGAATTTTTGAATTGCTTTTTTCTAACTCTGAAAAATAACATTGGTATTTTGATAGGGATTGCATTGAAACTGTAGACTGCTTTGAGCACTATAATCATTTTAATAGACGATATTAGTTTTTTCAACCCATAAGCATGGTGTGTTTTTCCATTTGTGTTAGCTACAATTTCATCACTGTTTTGTAGTTTTCGTTGTAGATATGCTTTACCTCCTTGGATAAATTTATTGCTAGGTATTTTATTATTTTTGGTAGCTATCGTAAGTGGGATTGCTTTCTTTATTTCTCTCAGACAGTTTGATATTGATGTATGGAAACATTATTAATTTTTTTATGTTGTCTTTTTATCTTGCAATTTTACTATATTTGTTTAATAGTTCTAACAGTTTTTTGGTGGAGTCTTTAGGATTTCTTGCATATAAGATAATGTCATCTGCATACAGGAACAATTTGACTACCTCCTTTCTAATTTCACTACATTTTGTTCTTTCTCCTACCTAATTATTCTTGCTAAAACTCCCAGTACTATGCTGAATGGTGGTGGTGAATTGTTTGAGAATTTAGAGGAAGAGCTTTCAACTCTTTCTCACTCAATACAATGTTGGCTGTGGATTTATTGTATGTTGCCTTTATTATATGAAGGTTATAGTCCTTCTATACCTGATTTGTTGAGGTTTTATCATGAAGGGATTGAATTTTGTCAAATGCTTTTTCTACATCTATTGAAATAGTCATGTTTTTATCCTTTCTTTGTTAATGTGATGTATCACATTTATTGATTTGCATGTGTTAAACCGTCGTTGCATCCCTGGTATAAATCCCACTTGCTCATGGTGAATGATCTTTTTAATGTGCTGTTGAGTTTTTATTGCTAGCATTTTGTTGACTACTTTGCCTCTGCACTCATCAGGAATATTGGCCTGTAGCTCTCTTTCTTCCTGTGTCCTGGTCTGGTTTTGGTTTTTGGGGTAATTATCAGCTCATAGCACGAGTTTGGAAGTGTTCCATTCTTTTCTTTTTTTTTTTTTTTATTTATTATTATTAAACTTTAAGTTGTAGGGTACATGTGCACAACGTGCAGGTTTGCTACATATGTATACTTGTGCCATGTTGGTGTGCTGCACCCATCAACTCGTCATTTACATCAGGTATAACTCCCAATGCAATCCCTCCCCTCTCCCCCCTCCCCATGATAGGCCCCGGTGTGTGATGTTCCCCTTCCCGAGTCCAAGTGATCTCATTGTTCAGTTCCCACCTATGAGTGAGAACATGCGGTGTTTGGTTTTCTGTTCTTGTGATAGTTTGCTAAGAATGATGGTTTCCAGCTGCATCCATGTCCCTACAAAGGACATGAACTCATCCTTTTTTATGGCTGCATAGTATTCCATGGTGTATATGTGCCACATTTTCTTAATCCAATCTGTCACCGATGGACATTTGGGTTGATTCCAAGTCTTTGCTATTGTGAATAGTGCTGCAATAAACATACGTGTGCATGTGTCCTTATAGCAGCATAATTTATAATCCTTTGGGTATATACCCAGTAATGGGATGGCTGGGTCATATGGTACATCTAGTTCTAGATCCTTGAGGAATCGCCATACTGTTTTCCATAATGGTTGAACTAGTTTACAATCCCACCAACAGTGTAAAAGTGTTCCTATTTCTCCACATCCTCTCCAGCACCTGTTGTTTCCTGACTTTTGAATGATCGCCATTCTAACTGGTGTGAGATGGTATCTCATTGTGGTTTTGATTTGCATTTCTCTGATGGCCAGTGATGATGAGCATTTTTTCATGTGTCTGTTGGCTGTATGAATGTCTTCTTTTGAGAAATGTCTGTTCATATCCTTTGCCCACTTTTTGATGGGGTTGTTTGTTTTTTTCTTGTAAATTTGTTTGAGTTCTTTGTAGGTTCTGGATATTAGCCCTTTGTCAGATGAGTAGATTGCAAAAATTTTCTCCCATTCTGTAGGTTGCCTGTTCACTCTGATGGTAGTTTCTTTTGCTGTGCAGAAGCTCTTTAGTTTGATGAGATCCCATTTGTCAATTTTGGCTTTTGCTGCCGTTGCTTTTGGTGTTTTAGACATGAAGTCTTTGCCCTTGCCTATGTCCTGAATGGTACTACCTAGGTTTTCCTCTAGGATTTTTATGGTATTAGGTCTAACATTTAAGTCTCTAATCCATCTTGAATTAATTTTTGTATAAGGAGTAAGGAAAGGATCCAGTTTCAGCTTTCTACTTATGGCTAGCCAATTTTCCCAGCACCATTTATTAAATAGGGAATCCTTTCCCCATTTCTTGTTTCTCTCAGGTTTGTCAAAGATCAGATGGCTGTAGATGTGTGGTATTATTT